TCTGTGTTTCAGCTCTGCTGCTTATTGCTCCCGATAAAGGGGACTGAACCACAGAGCCTGGCTGGCTCGGGGCTCCCTGCTCCCCTGGCTGTGTGACTGTGGGAGAAGCTGGCAGGGAAGCGAGGGCTCGGCAGGTTGTAGCCGCCAGATGGCAATGTCCCTCCGCCCTCCCCGCTGCTCTGCTGGGGTTCGCCTTCACGGCTGAATAGTTGAGGGTTTGCGTGTCTCTCGTTGGGCATTTGTTTTTAAACAGTAATTTACATGTCTGTCTGTCACGCGTCAGTCCCCTGGATGACCGTATGCCAGGCTGGTCCTAGGCTTTATTTCTGTGCAGAATATAGCAAAGGGGAGATCCTAAAGCCTAACAACTCCCAAGTGTAAACCTTTTTTTTCCCAAGCTTTTTCCATGTCTCTATTTGAAGACAAGGACGGACGTGGTTCCCATGGGAGAAAGATGTTGGGACTCTGCCTGCTTTCAGGTGGCAATCAGAGGCAGTTCCCGTAACTGGAATTAATTGCTGTCCTCAGGGCTTGGTAGCAGCACAGGTAGAATCCATCCTATGAACTGGTCTTGTATCTTGGAGCAGACTTATGAAGAAGGGGTAGGGGAGAAGGTGCTTGATAAATAATTGCTAAGGCCAACATTGCTGTTTCCTTAGCTATTGAGGGTACTTGTGGTTTGTTTCCTCAGAGTCATTTTTTTTCTGCCTGATTCAGCAACAGAGTGGAAATCTTGTTTATTTCCTTATTATTATGTATTTCTGCCAGCAAATAGCAATTAAAAAAGTCAACAGTGATTGCACTAAAAAGGAGAAGCCTAGAAGGAAAAAAATTCTTTGCAAATACTTGTAGGAAGAGGGGAAAATTATGGGAAATTAATGAAGCTATAAAATTCAGAAGGAGTGGTACTGCATTTTTTACCTAGCCTTCTCTGTTGTATCAGAAGCGAGCAAGTTATGCTATGTAGGATCTATTTATGGCCTGAATTCATCCATTCCCCCTGCTTTGTGTGAACAGGAAGCCACTTCTTCACAAGCTGTGGCTACTGCATTCAGCATGCCTTCTAATTTAGCACGGTTCCTAAAAACCAAGCTCATCTTACAGGGATCTCCTGAGTCACTTGTGAAAACTCAGGAATTGTTTGACTCCAAAGCTTTTTGATGGCAATGGTGGAAGTCTCACTGACTAAATTTCACTTCTGCCCTGTTTGTGCAAGTGAGGTGGGAGTGAAACTGAACAGCTCTGAGGAAAGTTGCTTTCATTATCCTGTGGCTTGTCTTCCCTTCTCAGTTCATACCAGGTTTTTCTTCCGCTTGAAGTGTCCTTTCTAATCCCTCCCTCAGGCTGTACCCCTTAGAGCAAGTGAGATGGAACAGTGGAGCAGTAATGCTGGTTTGTTTCTTGCAGCTCACTTATACTTAGTTTCTGTTGAAATCACACCTGACACAGCTGCTCTCACCATAGTCCACTTGCAAGCCAACACTGTCATTACCTGCTGGGCACTTCCAGGCCACCCAGATAATCTCAGCTGTATCCATTGTAGTGATTTCTAGTGATGTGTTCTCAAGGAAAAATGTTTTGTTGTGTGTATAGTAAGAAATGAGCTTTTCTGTGTACACATTGCTCAGAAGAGGGATTTTTAGTTACCACTGAGACACCTGTCATACAGGTGCAAAGTCAACAGAACAAAAACCTAGCATGTATAAGAGGCAAATAAATATTTTTTTTTTCAGTTAGGCTTTTTTATTTCAATCAATAGTTTAACAAGTGCTTAAACTTCCCTGGCAGTTTAATCTGGAACACAGTTGAGAAGAAAAATATCTTCTATAAGTTTACAAAAATAAAAGGATTTTTTTCTTTTTAAATCCTGCACTTCAAGCAAGCACACTCCAACTCAACCAAGACAGACATTCTATCTTAAAACACAGACTTCTGTTACATAAAAATTACATTCTACCCCAGGGCAGCAGGCACAATGTGTGAATGGTATAGAAACAGAGTAAGAACACTTATTTTGGTTTTCCTGATCCCTTTTGTCCTTTTTCTTAAATAGAACTTGTTAAAACAATTTACCCAAGAACTTATTTAGGTTACCATTTCTTCTGTCAGGTGGCTCCTTGAGTAGGATATTACAGTGGCACTGAGGGAAAAATTTTCAACTGTCCTGGTGACATTGGCAGTTACTGAAGATACAAATTTTAATTGTTTTGCTTTTTAAAACTTCTGCATTTCAGTATTGGACAAATCACTCAGTTTGTAGGTCCTCCTCTGCTAAACCAAACTTCTTCAGCAGCCAGGGCTGCCAGCACATGAGGTCAAGTTGGAGAAGTAAAAAGAATGGAATATATTGCATCACAAATGTGTATGGTGCTGTGCAGCAGTTGATTTAGTGTCTGATGACACCTAAAGATCAAGGAAGCTTAGCTCCTAGTTTTGTGCCTGTCACCTAGGAGAAGCCTTTCAGAGAACATGGATTGGCAAATAAACTATGCACTCTGAAGACTTACATCTTTGTCCAACTTGGCATTTATGGGCTAATAGAAAAATAAAGAAAAAATACATAGGCACAAGGAGGGAAGCTGGTGTAGCATATACTAAGAATCCAGATTGTAAAATTTTCTTTCTGGTCAACACTAAAAATAAACTCGAGGAGCCCAAAATCAGATTTCTGGCAATGAATCCACTAAGGCCTTTTTCAAGTGCCCCTTTTTCACTATCTCTAGGTGACAGGAGAAAAAAAAAAAAAGCTGTTCTTGTACAGTTTGTACTTTGAGTCACACTTGTGTTTTGTGTGATTACAAGTCTCAGAAAATGTGGATCTTTGCAAGTCTGCAGTTCAAAACACAGTCAAGATAAGAATGTGATTTTTGGAGGTAAGAACTAGACAGGTCTTTCTCTTGAAACTGTTGTAAAAGTTTGGATATTAATCAATTTACAGAGGAGCCATGAGCACCAGTAAGTTGTAGATCATTGCCCTGATGAACAAAAAGCATTAAGCAGCAGAACAGGTCCTTTGCTCAGCTTCAGCCCTACGTCACAAGCATGTGCAGATTTCAGCTGGAACTAAGTTGTGTGTGGCACTTGCATAGGGAAGGAAGAGGGTCTGACAACTCCTAGCCACTGATACGTTTTGCAGAGATGAGACTACCTAACGGGACTATGGTGGTGAAGAAACTTGTCTCATGATCTGAGGAACCTCACGCCATACCCATAAATAAAGACTAACATGAATTCACTTATGTCACTGTGTTTCAAACAGAAATCAGAATCAAAGGTAGTACTCGAAAGGCCTTGTTTAACTGTCTTGTAACTCAGATGGAGATTTGCTGGTGTAAATCTGCTGAATTAAAAACTCAAGTCTAGCTAAAGAAAATAAAACTCCCTCCTGGTTCCTAGCTTCTCTTTCAGAGGCATCATGTCTCCTTCTTGACTCTAGTTAAAACTGCTCCTGATGCCCCCCTACCAGCAACTGATCCTGAACTGACCCTTCCAGTAGGTTTGACTATGGAGCAGAAAGTCATCAAGAAATGCTGATCAGAGCAGCTGTTCATAGGGCTCAATTGATCATGGGAATTTGGCTTTCAGCTCCTTCTAGTAGGCTGAAGGAGGATCTGATATCAGATGGATGGGTGAATGCTTTCTCTGGTGACCACTGAGCCAGCCTGAGCTCTGTTCTTGACTCTTAATGAGTTTTCTGTGACGTTTCCTCTGAGGAAAAAATACCATGAAAGATTCTGTCTGACCTGGCAGTGAGTCTGTGATTGTTCCTTTCCCCCTTCCTTCTGCTGTCTCAAAACCAAGTGAAACAGTTTTGTTCTCACCCCATGGAAATTTGCATCCAAGGCTAATACCAGCTTGGAAAAACTGTCAAGAAGGCATGGACTTAGAGGAGGTGGGGAGCCTGAGCATAGCCATTTGCTACTCAAATGGCTTTTTCCTGCTAATTTTCCTAGTGAGCTCTTGTGCCATTGCTGTGTTTTCAAAGAATCCTTTTGCTATGGCACACAGTATGGAGACTTCCCTACGTAAAACTGAAAGACCTTCATTCAACACATGCTTTTCCTGTGATGCTGAACGTTATCTTCCCCCAATAATACTGCACTGGGCAGCTACAAACTGCTGACACTGATGAAGAAACAGTGTGACCTTATTCGTTATGTTTATTCCACAGGTTCCTGCTCCTCCTGTGAGCCAAAATGTGTATCCTGGTAAAAGCCACAGCCCAAATGCTTCAAGATTAAACCATGTCCTCAGCTTACTCCCCATTTAAATCAGGGGGGACATGGTTTATCCATGAACTGTACCTCCTTGCTGACCTTAACTATCTCTTCTATTGCCTCTCCAGAACCTGGTCTGATTGACATTAATATGCACATAAGGATGTATTTGCCACTGGGGGAAACCCAAGGGTTTCCAAGGCAGGGTATTGTTGAAGAATGCTCTATTGAAGAATGTGTTGGGACAGGTCCAGCAAGGAGAAAAGGGAGGAGGTGGCTACATTTGTGCAACTCTTGCTCCTCCCTCTGGTAAGACTGGGCCACTCTGCCTCCACCAGATGGATGTAAATCTGTTTCCAGCTGCTTTCGTGCTCTTCTAGGGGCCATGGTGTGCTTGCTGCCAAAACTCTTTACTTGTTCCTGTGTGAGGCCACATCACTAAAAATGTGCTGCTAAACAAGGTTGCAGAACATGTTAGACCCTACTCACTTCTTTACCCACCTGGCTGGCACAATATCCAAGGCAGAAATACTGCACGTGGAGTATGTAAGGCCTCAGGAATGTGAAAGCAGAAGTCATCCCTGCAGCCTTGTATTGGCAGCTTACCTGCACCTTGTGCATCCAACAGAAAAGATGCTGCTTCTCTCTGGCTTTAAGGGGGCTTGGTTGTAACTACCCACTAGATACAAAGGGAGGCCTCCCAGCAATGACATAGCTAAGGAAATTGAAAGACAAAATATGAATTACTGGTTATTTTTACAATTTAATTATTGTAAAAATAGCTTAAATTATTTGGAATATTTTTTTAATTAGAGGTATCAGTTAGTTAGCAGGATCTGAGTGGAGGGCTGTTGATTGGTCGTTTCTTTTTGTGTAACGAGCTGTGAGATAATGACAAGATCAATCTTCGTGGGTTTCCTCCTCGTATGCGCATCTACATCGGAGTTGTGAAGTCCGAGGGGGAAGGTGCTCTCACAGTACTGGCACAGCCCCGAGCCCTTCCCCGGAGCTAAATTCTGTTGAGAAACCCAGCACTGGGGAGAAGAGTACCACACTGGTAACGTGGCAGTGATGACTGAAGCAAGATCATAACCTTCACCCCAGTAATTAAATTTTTTTTTTTAAAAAAAAGAAGACCCCCTCCCTCCCCCCAAAAGTCTGCAGTACTAAAGTGCAATTACTTTTGTGCAGTCATGTCAGGCCAGGGATCAGACTGGATGAAGTTCAAAGCACAAACATCAAACGAGTGCTGTTCAGGATTTGAGGAGGAGGGGGGAAGTAAGGAAAAGAACAGTTCTCAGGCATTCAAGTGCATCAAGAAAATAAATGTCCTTTTCTTTCAGAAATAAAAACAACCCCCAGTCTGGTGGAATCCTGGCTCTGTAGTCATGAAATATAAGGGTTTTTTCACTTCTAGCTGAGAATGTCCCAATATGACACAGTACAAATAAACAACACCAAAGCAAGAGCTGGGGTACTGGGATATTTTTCTGGTGCTCTGCTATACAGCCTTATTTTTTTCTCCTCTGGCGACTCTTCGGCTCTGGGCACTGACGAAGCGCACTGAATTAAAGGCATCTGGTAGGACGTGGCTCTCTTCTCTGGTCGGTCAGGGCTGGACCCGTCGCTCGGTCTCTGGCCGTTGTACAGCAAGTACCTTCCCCCAGCATCCTGCTCCATTTTGAAGATCTCGTACTCGGTGTGAGGCAGGCGGATGCCGAGCGCGATGCAGCCGTTCGTGTGGGTGACGTCTTGCTGAACCCCAACTTGCCAGGACCCCTGCGCTCCACACTCGTTCCCGTTGAAGACGTTGAGCAGAGAGGCTGTGGATATATCCATGGGAGTCACCTTCATGTGATTCACTGCGAGAGAGGAAGAGAGGGGCTATTAGCAGGGGAACAAAAACAAAAGCAAGGACAATGTGCAGATTGGGGTCTGTAACTGCCAAATCAGAATTGTCTCTGCTTGCTCATTCTTAAATCAATTTTTCATATTGCAGGTGTGGCTGGTGAACATATTTGCATCATTTTATGTCTTTGACATAATTGCTTCTTGCACACACACAAACTCAGTTGAAGAAAACCTGATGACAACAGATCTCAGCAAGAGATTAAGCAGAACTTTTCATTACAATCCGTTACAGATAAAGCCTGGGTGGTTATTCTAGGAGATAGGTAAAAGAGGAAACATTAAAACTTTGTGTTTTATTACCATCTGTATTAATCCATAAGAAGGGCTGTTTATTTTTCATCATTTTTTAACTTCGTTATCCTGTAAGGCTAATGAAATAATTAGTTCCAGCTGGAAAATCTGGAAAGCACCACAGCTGTGCTATCTCTCTGTATTACCCATTCTTTTTTTGCATGAATTATAAAGTATTTCTGAACTACAGAGAGATGTTTTTTCTCATATCCAAAGAGTGAGAGCAGCTTGCAGAATCAAATGTAGCAGTCCTGCAGCTTCTGCGGTTCCAAGTTGCCTGCATTTCAAAGGAGCTTAAGGCACATAAAGTTTTATTTTTCAGCCAAGTTAAAAAAAGTTGGGAAAAATCAAACAGCCTATGGAAGCTGAATAGATTTTTTTCCTGGTGTGTGCTTGACACTGTATATCAAGTAAAGGGAATCTGAATGGATCAGTGCTGAGTGAAACTGAAGCAAATGACCAGCCCTCATGCCTCCTGACATACCAAAATCTCAAATTCTCCTGCAGGTCGTTTTGTATTAAGATTTGTTGGGAGTTTTATTCTGAGGTTTTATAAACAGATAATTGACTTAATGGCTCCACAGTTTACATTATTTGTCCTAGTGGGTGTAAAAGGCAATCTATAGAAAGCAAACCTAGAAGCTTTACCAAAACTGAATCAGTGACCTCAATTTGCAAGGTAAGTTGGCATACCACGAAACTGGATTTCACCCCAGGAGCTGAGCTGGGACATGCTGCATACAGCTGCAAAGAGCAAAAGCTCTGAGAGGAAAGGGTATCTCCCACCTCCTATGAAAATTCCAGATTAGTAAATAATTTCTTACAGTTAGATGCTTTACTAAATTGGAGCCATGAAAGAAGCTGTATGCTTCTCACATGGTAACTGAAATAAGGAGAAGAGCCCACACAGTGCCTGGGGCTTCCAGAGGCTCTGCTGGGGCTGGCGCCATGGTGGGACGTCATGTTTTGGAGATGTTTGTTTGTGTGGTTAAAGCCACTGAGCTCTTTCTAAGCAGGGTGCTATGGGGCTGTTTGCATGGGAAAGCTTCTCAGCTGCAGGGACCCGGCTGGTGTCACCACTGTGTGCCACTTCCAAAGTACTCAAGGGGTTTCGGTTAGATTCATCTGGTCTTTACTGTAGTGAGATTAATCAGAGCTCTCTTTAAGGACATCCTTGCTTGCTCTAGAGCTCCTTGGAAGATGACGAGAAGACAGATGCTGCTGCTTGTATTGCATTTGCGTGGCAAGGCTTTGGCAGCAGGGGGCTGCAGGGGTGGCTTCTGTGAGAAGCTGCCAGAACCCCCCCCCCATGCCTGGCAGAGGCAATGCTGGCCAGCTCCAAGATGGACCTGCCACTGGCCAAGGCTGAGCCCATGAGTGATGGTGGCAGCACCACTGTGATAACGTATTTAAGATAAAGGGGAAAAAAGCTGCATAAGAGCTGCTGGAGAGAGAAGTGAGAATAAGAGAGAGAAACAGCTCTACAGACACCAAGGTCAGCAAAGAAAGAGGGGAAGAGGTTCTGTAGATGCCGGAGCAGAGATTCCCCTGCAGCCCATGGAGGTCTGTGGTGGAGCAGATATCCACCTGTAGCCCATGGAGGACCCTACGGCAGGACAGGTGGATGCGTAAAGGAGGCTGCTCCTGGCAGAACCTGTGGACCTGTGGAGAAGAGCCCATGTTGGAGCAGATTTGCTGGCAGGATTTGAGACCTCATGGGGGACTCAGGCTGGAACAGTCTGTTCCTGAAGGACTGCACTCCATGGAAGGCTGGAGCAGTTTGTGAAGAATTGTAGCCTGTGGGAAGGATTCATGTTGGAGAAGTTTGTGGAAGACTGTCTTCCATGGGAGGGACCCCAGGCTGGAGCAGGGGGTGAATTGGAGGAGTCCTTCTGGAGGAGGAAGGAGCAGCAGAAATATGTGGTGAACTGACCAAAACCCCCACTCCCTGTCTTCCTGCACTTCTAGGGGTTGGAGGCAGAAAAATTGGGAGCAAAGTAATTTGAGTCAGGGAAGATAGGAGGGATGGGGGGAAGATTTTTTAAGACTTATTTTTTATTTCTCATTACCCTACTTTGATATGATTGATAATAAATTAAACTAATTTCTGTAAGTTGAGTCTCTTTTGCCCAGTGGCAGTAATTGGTGAGTGATCTTTCCCTGCTCACATCTCGACCCATGAGCCTTTCATTGTATTTTCTCTCCCCTGTCCAGCTGAGGAGGGGAGTGATGGAGTGGCTTGCTGGGCACTTGGCACCCAGCCAGGATCAACCATCACACTGCTATATCTGTCTTTACCAGAAAATGACTTATACCAGTTATGACCTGAAATACTTTCTGAAGGTGCTTTTTATTCTCTGCTGAAAGAGTCCTAGGACACAGATCTGATCTCAGACACTCTGCTTAGATGCTTTAAGTTTGGCCACTGGACTCCAAGACTTAATGATGTGAAATCGTATTTTTTTGGTGCTGTACTTAAATATCCCTGCCTCAAATGAATATTGTTTCAGTGGTGGAAAATACTGTGCAGCTGGTACAGTTTGGCTGGGCATTCACACGCTTGTGAACTTTCCAAGCCATCTACTGAAATGGCAAGTTTCAGTTCAGATTTTCTGATAGTCAAGAGGGGAACAATGATGCAGTTATGTACCCCATTTTGCTCTAGATTTCTTGTGTGAACTTCCTGTGTGACTTAACCTCATTTCAAACAATTACAGCTCTTCTGTTTGGGACAGGACTGGCAGAAGGCTAAATAAAGACACTGAGCTGTGAGAAAGCAGAAATGTCAGGGACCCTGATATTATTTAAAATAAAATCATAATAATTTCTTGCTGGTGTTGCAAGAAAGCTGCTGGAGGTGTGCAATTCCGTTCCCTGCCAACCAAAGCGTTGAAGAAACAGACATTTTTTAAAATGTAATAGTTACTTCTATTACACTTTGTCTTCTTGGAGATGAACATCCAAAAGATGTAGCCACTGCCTTGTACAGACACCTGCAGTGATCCAGGCTGAGGGGTTGCTCTGTGGAAGATGCTGGTGTCTATCAAGCATTTGTTTCTCTGTCCTGCCATGGGGCACATGGGCATCACTAACACTTTAAGGGCTACTGAACTGCATTGATGACAGTAACCTTACTCCTTTGATTGTCCCACTCATGTAACATGAAGCAAGAAGGAGAAGACAGTTTTATAAAACTAACCATAACTTAGATAAGCCAAATTGGTCAACAAACTGGCCAAATTGTAGGAGACAATTTCTGCTACAGTCTCCTTGCTATTGAAGTGAAATTGAAAGGTCTTATGATCTCCCAGAAGAGTCCCTGGCATCCGAGACTCTTTTGCCCAGTGACAGGAATTGGTGAGTGATCTTTCCCTGCTCTCATCTTGACCCATGAGCCTTTCATTGTATTTTCTCTCCCCTGTCCAGCTGAGGAGGGGAGTGATGGAGTGGCTTGCTGGGCACTTGGCACCCAGCTAGGATCAACCATCACACTGCTATATCTGTCTTTACCAGAAAATGACTTATACCAGTTATGACCTGAAATACTTTCTGAAGGTGCTTTTTATTCTCTGCTGAAAGAGTCCTAGGACACAGATCTGATCTCAGACACTCTGCTTAGATGCTTTAAGTTTGGCCACTGGACTCCAAGACTTAATGATGTGAAATCGTATTTTCTTGTGCTGTACTTAAATATCCCTGCCTCAAATGAATATTGTTTCAGTGGTGGAAAATACTGTGCAGCTGGTACAGTTTGGCTGGGCATTCACACGCTTGTGAACTTCCCAAGAAAATACTAACTCCAGAAAATGACAGAATGAAATAATCAGCCACCAAATCATTTATGAGGAAATGGTGCTCTGGTGTGTGGCTACGTGACCACCTTTGCCACCAGTGTTGTGAACCACTCTACCTTTGAACACGAACTCTGTGCCACCCATCACTTTGGATGAGTGCACTCCTCGGCTGTAACGTCCCTTGGCGTAGATGGTGAAGGTGGGGTGCTTGCAGATGGGGTCGGAGTAGTGGTAGTAGTGACCTTCCCAGGTGTTGTTGTTGTCATGGAAGATGAAGTGCCGAGTGAGGAAGAGGACCTCCGGTCGCACTTCGCAACGCTGGCTCACCCACTCTCCATGGAGCCCTATAGTCAGATCTACCTTGGGGGGTAAGATGGGAGGATGGTGCTCGTCCGACCGGTAGATGATTCTGCATGCAATGCACGTATGGTCATGGTTCTGAAATGAAGCAGAGAGAAACCCTGGTTATGCATTATTCGTGACAGAGGGCAATGCATCAGACTGTCCGTTTCAGGTTGAAGTGACACCAACTCAACATTTTAAGGAATATATTATTCTTTCTCATCTTTTTAATATTCTCCTGTAGATTCTCACAGTTCAAAGCACCTGAAACATAGCACCATTTGGTTTTGTATGTAGGAGACTGCACAGCAGGAGCTGAGTTAGGACATTAACTCCCTCATCTGCATTCCTCTGAAATGAACATTTTAGTTTAGCTTTTTATTGGATCTAGAAACAGCCGAGTTAATCCTTCAAATTGCACAAGAAGCTGGCAGATGGTAATTCACTATGTTAGAGACTTGGCAACTCTTGTGTTAGAAATGACTGTTTGCTGACCTCTTATTTTTCATCTCTCTTCCTTTTAGTTGTCAACTTTGGGTGCCGTAGATGGACCCAGGTGTCCTAAGTACATTTTTCAGTTGGGTATCAGCCTGGGAGAACAGTAACCAGCAACGTTGAACTCTTTCAGCTTTTTTGAGCCCAAACAAAAGCTTGTGAATCATAAGACACGGCCAGTTGCTGCTGGACACGGTGAAAGCTTTATGGCCCTCTCCAGAGGGAACAAGGTTGGTGGTACCTACTGAACTCCACTGCAGTTCACTGCTGTGGGTCAAGCAGCAGGTACCCCCAACCCTATCCGACAGTGCTGGGGGCAATTTACAAGGGGTGTGCAGGCTCTCAGTCTGTGGCAGGAGTGGAGGGAATTTCATGCTGAGGCTTCCACCTCCTGACAGCAGAAAATAAAATTACAGAGACTTGTATGTTGTTCCTAAGGCTAACTGCTTCTGCCTCTGCAAGGTTTTGTCTTGTTGGCAAGAGTCTGGCCCAGCTATTCTCTTTTCAGACTGCATTTTGCACTTCCTTCCATGGCAAGACAGACGGTGGCATTAGCATTTGTCTATGCTCTGGTAAACCTTAAAGTAAATTTTATGGACCAACAAAGGATTACAAAATGAATTTTTTAACTCACTTCATTTATGACAAGTTAGATCAAGAAGAAGAAATGCCACCCTGAAAGATAAAAGCAGTGGTTGTTGTTTTGCTCGTGCCCATTTTGGGTTGGTGATGTGCTGTTTGTTTACATCTCAGGATCTCCAGTCAGCCGGAGATGTGCTGAGGGGCTGTGCTCTGAGCTGTAAGCAGGCTTATACTCAGAGTGGAAGGCAAAGACCACACAGATAGCTTGGATCTTCGTCTTTCAAGGACACTCAATCCTTCCTGGAGAGGGAGATGCACTGGCTGAGTTACATCTTGCTCAATTCAGAGCGTACCGAGTGATGAGCTGAAGTCTTCAGGGAGATACTTACACAAATACTTTTTCTTTGTGCCTCTTTCCAATCTTCTGTTCTGAGATGTCTCTGTAACATAAATTGCTCAGACTTTGAAGTCCACTTGAGCTGCTATGGAGTCAGCATGTCACCACTCACTGCCTTCAGCTCACAGTACACTTTAGGGTTGACATTTACACAACCTTCATTAGTGCCCTGAGTTTCTCCAATCATATGACCACAGGTAGCTTCAGAGAATCAGCATCCAACTCCCACATATAGAAGGAGGGTTTATATTTGCCCCCAGACCAGAGAGACACCGAAAGTAGAGAAATCAATGGGAAGTCTGCTGTTCTACGTCCCTATGATGTAGAAGAATGGTCTATGTGCTAAATAACTACAAATGATGTAGCTCAGGTTGATCTGAACCAGTGCTGACCAACAGCCCTGGTTTGAGGAAGAAGGATGTTGGACTTGGTTACCTCCAGAGGGTCTTTCCACTTCCAAACACATAATCTTCTGAGAACTACCAGTCAGCATGCTATTAAAGCGGATGTAGTTCTTCCCACGGTGGAGCTTGTTAACTGATTTTAAGATACATTTTTCAGCTAAATTCTGTAAGCAGGTGCAAGGGCCATTAATGTCTTAGTGAAAATACAAAGAACATTTAATTGAGTAATTCAACTGCAACTGGTGAAGTTAGCACAGATTTGTGCCGTAGTAACTGACAGCAGAGGCTGGTGCAAAACATCTGGTTCTCCTGAACACCAGAAGCACAGATAACACATAAGGACTGTGAAACTGAGCCATCTACTGAAATAGCAAGTTTCAGTTCAGATTTTCTGATAGTCAAGAGGGGAACAACGATGCAGATATGTTCCCCATTTTGCTCTAGATTTCTTGTGTGACCTTCCTGTGTGACTTAACCTCATTTGGGACAGAACTAGCAGAAGGCTAAATAAAGACACTGAGCTGTGAGAAAGCAGAAATGTCAGGGACCCTGATATTATTTAAAATAAAATCAGAATTTCTTGCTGGTGTTGCAAGAAAGCTGCTGGAGGTGTGCAATTCCGTTCCCTGCCAACCACTCATGTAACATGAAGCAAGAAGGAGAAGACAGTGTTATAAAACTAACCATAACTTAGATAAGCCAAATTGGTCAATAGTAGGAGACAATTTCTGCTACAGTCCCTTTGCTATTGAAGTTGAAAGCTCTTACGATCTCTCAGAAGAGTCCCTGGCAGAGCAGCACAGGCCAGCCAGGGTGGTTTGGTTTATGTTCACATTACCCTCTCAGGACCCTGTCCTCCACAATTAGTTTGTAGGCCAAGGCAATTTAACCTGGGAACCAGTGGTTTCTGTTGCCCTTGTTAAAAATCTGAAGAAAACCAAACAGAAACCCAGCCTGTTGTCTTCTTGGTCACCCTTGGCAGTTTGTGGGATTTCCCTGTTGTTTCTCAGGTCTGTGGAATCAGTCCTATTTGCAGCAATGTTGGTTTTTTTTCCTTTTTTTTTTTTTCTTCCTCTTTCTTTTTGAGGAGGAAGGACTGTTATGCATAAAAAGTTCTTTTTTCCATTTTTCTAGAAGTGATTTTAGGTTTCTTCTCTCCTCCACAACATTAAAAACTATGTGTATTATGAGTTGAGGCTCTGATGCTGGGCAGGGAGTATTACCATTGTTTGATGTCTTCTCTGTCATACTGGGAGGGTACATGGTGCAGAGTGGTCACAACCTATGGTTGCTTAGTCCTCTGGCTGTGGCCAGCAGCAGAGTGGGCAGAAGAAAGTCCATAGTGGAAGAAAGTCCATGGTGGAAAAAATGCCTAACTGCAAGCAGCCCCTTTCTCCTTATCAGGGCTGGGTTCGTGTCTTGAGGAACAGGGAGGAGTTACTTCCCAAAACTTGTAAAACTGACTATACTGGCTGCCATTACACTGCAAGTAGAGGTGACTCCTTGGGTAAACTCAAGGAAGGTCCAAGTTAACTCACAGAAATAGAAGCTGAGCAGTGTAAACACTTGTCTTTAGCTCATCTGGTTCTTTGGCCTCTGATCTGTATCTTGAATTGCGGTAGCTGGGTAGCCTTTCTAAATCCAAAGGCTTTGCACCAGCTCTGAAGCTCTGGCCAGTTGCACTGCTAAGAAGCATCTAGCCTGCCTGTCTTATTACTGATGATGTGCCCAGATGCAGGGACTGCAGTGAACAGGCACTTTTTGCAGCAAACAGCAAGTGGGACAGGGAGAGGTTGGGGCAGTGAGGAGGGAAGCAGAAGTATCCCTTTCACTGGCTGGCTCAGGTATCTCATAGAGATGTACCCCAGACACATCGCTTCCCTGAGACCAGCTCTTGGGTCTAAGCCTTTTTTTTCTTTTTTGTTCTGTGATACTAGCATTCACAGGGTTATGAACTTCTTAATGGAAGAATATGCCACATGTAAACTCCCTCAGTATGATTTTTGTCCAAGTAATGGATAAGAGAAAAATCTAGTTTTGTTATGAGGCAATTGGACTTAATTGTGGAGTAATTTATCTTTAGCAACTGACTGTGCTTTTCACTGTTCTTTTTTCTGGTTGGCCGCTCTTGGCTCTTAATTACACTAGCAAAGGCCTTGCAATCACTCCCTTTCCATGTGTCTCAGGGAAAGATTATTTTCTAAAAACAGATGTTCAAAGAGAATAGGGAACAGAGGCAGAGGACAGTTGAGTTCAAACACGATTAAGTACTCTCTAATAAAAAGCTCATTTGGGCATGACATAAACTAAAAAGCAATAAAATGAGCAGTAGACAGCATGAACATCTGGTCCATGTTTTGATTATCTTAGGTGTACAATGAAGTATTTTTAATAGTGAGGTCTTGCTGCAAGGACCAGCCTGTGAAATGGCAGCTATCTGATGACTGGAAGATCCCTTCCCGTGAAAGGTGCCTCCTTGCAGCTCTGCAATGCTGAATTGATGGTGCCCCAACTTCTCACCCTCCTGGGTGTTTCTTTAAAGCAAATTTCTGAATTAATCCATGAGGTCATGTGAGTTGAAACAAGCCTGAATCTCTGGCTGGAAATTCAGTTCTTGTAGCTGGGGAGAAAAGCGTTTGTAATCTGAAAATTTCCATCAATATTTTTTCTTATCCCCCCCTCAGGCTGCCTCAGCTGAAGTGGTAACAGGGACAGAGATCTCTGGAAGCCAAGAAGGGAGGTTTCTAATAAAAAAGCAAACAAGGATGAGATTCCTTGATCTTTTTCCCAATTGCTGTGCATAGTCAGAAATATAAACCCTCTCAGCACAATATAATTTTCTCTTAAGTTCTATGGGATTCTATGGCTGTCTAGGACTAATTTGCCTCTAATCAATTCATGGTGTTTTTTATGGTCCAGGCCGAAAAACTATCACGCAGCTGGGATGCTCTCTGAGCAATGGTGCAGTGAGCTTTGAATAACACACAGAAAGATCTTTTTGAAAGGTGTTCTAGTTTTCTTTGAACACCTTTGTATTTCGATGCTGTTGTTACAGAATGAGACATCTGTGGACCAAACCCTTTTTGAAATGTGCAGAAAATCTACCCTTTCCTTATGATTCAAGCAGAAGCTGAAATCAATGCTTGCTATCAAGGAGAGGAACTGCAGGATACACTGCAAGTTGTAATTCAGGGACAAAACAAACAAGCAGTAATACT